AACAACCGCGCGCTAATGCGCTTTGCAATGCAGCAACGAAGAGATAAAAAGCTGGTAGCTGCTTTCTCAGTTCGTGCCCTTAGTGCAAAGCCGTGAAGGTAATTGATATGAAGAGCGTCAAAAGTGTTGTTGCTGCAGACACCTGATAGCGAGTGTTTATATATAGCTGTTACGTTTATGTCGTATGTGCTCTTTTTTCTCCTATTGCTCAACATCTTGCATCTGCTGCTTTCGTCTTAACTATTCTGCTTCTTATCTTAAGTTATTCTTTAATTACTCTTCTCTTGAAGTCGTAATTGTTTTCTTAACTACATGCCATGCATTACTCTGTCTTCTGCTAATGTCTTGTTCTTATGCAAACATACATACATGCTTTATTTGCTTGCTTTTAGTTGTTTCTGCTTTGGTCCAGTTTTGCGAATTTAAGTATAGGTCTGTTCGATAAGTCGGGCTACCGCGTTAATGAAAATAAGAAAATAAGAAAGTTGTTAAGCCGAAAAAAACTTGACTTTGCTAGGTACGTCTTCGAAGAGTCTGCGGTGGATGTAATTTGCGTTACTGAGACTTGGTTTCAAAGTGACTTTCCTGACTTCAACATTTCTTTCAATGGATTCAATTTATTGAGGCATGACCGCATGCATAAAAAAGGGGGAGGAGTTGCAGTGTATTGCAAACAAAATCTTAAATTCAGACTGCTAGCAAAGTCGAATAATAGTGAAATTGAATACATCTTTACTGAAATATCTCATGGGGAAACAAAATCATGTGTGTACAATCCTAGTAAGATTATTTGTCTTAATCCATTTTTTGCTGAACTGTATGAATATGTGTTAGATTATGAGCGTATATTGGTTTGTGGTGATTTTAATGTAAATTTACTTGTGAATGACCCTTATAGTTGCAAATTAATGGATCAGCTGGCAACAGCAGGACTGTGCGTTGTTAATGGATCTATCCCATTAAGATATGCAAATAATTCTCCACCTAGTCTCCTAGATTACTTTATAACCTGTGATCTCAAGCATATCCTTAAATTTGACCAAGTTGACTTTATTTCTGACCATGACTTAATATTTTGTACCGTAGATGTTGTATTGAATAGTCCAAGCTTATCGTGATTTTAAATCATTAAATGTGAACTCATTACATTCTGACTTGAGTAAAGTAAATTGGCGTGTGTGTTTTCATCTTGCCACAGTTGATAATAAACTTGACTTCCTAAACAAATACCTGACCATGTTATTTGATGTTCATGTCTCTCTTCGTTTTGCTAATGTTGTAAATTGTTCATGTCCATGGTATACTTCCAGAGTTCATTCTGCCATTAAGAAACTAAATAAATTTTATGCAAAGTGGTGAAAAAATAGTACAGACTTGTCCTGGCGCCGCACAGTGGGCCACCCCATACAAGTTAGCCGGAAAAAACTATTTTATTGCTTCTGATGATTGGATTTGTCGTTAAGTGGCCATAAAGAAATTCACCTTGATCGGGATCGATTGGATAGCTCCGAGGTCCATTGAGGAGGGTTTGTAGCAAAAACGGTATATTGAAGTTATCTTATATATATAAATACGCCACAATAAAATTTTGAACCCCCTTTTTTGAGGGCATGGTTCGCTCGATTTCACTGAAACATATACCGATTTAAAGGATGTAGCTTCCTCCAAACCATAAATGTTCACCCCATTATACAGGGGGCGTGGTATCTGATATACATAGTAAAATATGAAAACCGATATATCTCTAAACCCAATTATGCTGGGGAACTGAAACTTGGCACGGATGCATAGATTCTAATTACCCCACTCACGGCGAAAAGTGGTTTGCATTCGAAAAGGGGGCGTGGCACTTCCCATACAAACTGAAATTTTCATATCGCTTATCTCTGGAACCGCTTAAGCTTACGTCCTGAAATTTGCCACAGCTATATATTGTTACGATAATCCTTGAATACTTGACCGGCGATACTAGTATAAATAATTTAACTGGTAGCTATTTTAGAGATATCTTAACCTAATTAAGTATGACAAAAGCTTTTAAATTAATTGTATAACTTTACACTCCAAACAAAACACTATTTCAAGTTTGAATGTAAATTGTTAAATATATTCAATTATTTTTTAATGAATATATAACTTATAACTACATATTTTTTGAGTTATGTCTGCGAAATGTCACTGTCGGAGTCTGAACTTTCATCTGTTTCATTGGTCGCGTAAGTTTTGTCCGAATCCTGGTGACTTACGAAATCTATATGCGGTTCTTTTAAGAAGCTGATGACTTCGGGCGGAAGAGATCGAAAGTTTTTTAGTGGCTTTTGGCGGTAAGTATTGATTAACGGATCAGACGTTATCAAAAGCATGTTAAGCAAATCCCTATTCGTGTTGACTCTAGAAGATTTTCGGGTATGTGCCACTCTGAATCGCCTTGTTGCGTGCTTCCTGAGCTTCTTCTGATAGCTGCCCTATTGGCACGATCCAATTTTTTGTAACTTCAGTAGAATGGCATATTATCTTATGAACACTGACTGGCATAGGATACCACTCGTATGAATTTAGGTACCTTCGTCTGGTTTCCTGGATGAATTTTTGAAAAGCGTCAATACTAATCTCAAATCCTGATGATAAGCAACTCAGTATTATATAAAACCTTTTTATAATTTCTTCTTGTAATCCTGTTATTTCAGCACTTTTGGTGTGGTTTATAAAAAATCTCCTTGCAGTGTTGCCATCATTAATTGTGCCATATCCAGGCTTTACGCCATCAATTATTAAGCCCATTTCACTTTTAAAACGAGACTGAATATATTTTTTGCGAAGTCCTACAGAGTCCTTGTCGGCAGTTTGCCTGATAATATATATTTTGACGTCTAATCTGTAAGCGATATGCAGCATACATTCGAGTGTTTTGATCCATGCATGTAAAGTTGATAGCCCGTAAGAATAATATTTAGCATTGGGCTCTTTTGTGAGTTCGATTGCATTCATTTCGCTAGGTTTGGCTCCGCAAATATAGCACGACTGAGTTGATTTGTGGCTTGTCAAATAATTTGCAATCTTACCATCGATCATCGTCAATACAAATTCAAATGTAACCTTAATATTGTGAGGTCCCACAGAACATTCAAAATCTTGTAAGCTTTCAATTTCATTCCAAATTCAATTGAATTCTTCAAGTGTAAAAACCTCAGTTTCTTTTGCGAATATGAATTTCATGGGACGACAAAGTCTAGTCGACGAAGGAGTAGGATTTTGCCAGATGATCTCATTAACATTTGCTGTAACTCGTAGCTGTAAAGGTACAAACGACAACAAAAACAGAGACGAATCCAGGCCCACCTCTTCCGTAAATCTTTGCTTATAGGTACTATGACCTGAACTACCATCTCCACCCCATTTGCAAATGAGCGTAAGCGAGCTGGAGTTCTTTGAAAGCTATCAAAAACTGATTGTTGTGCTTTGAGTAGCCGTCGAGTTGTATGGTGAACAATCTCTTTCACATTTAAAGAAGCATAAGTTTCGTTTACATCTATGGCACTTTCTGGTGGAAAACATTCTTGCTTAGCCCTTTGCAAAACGTGTTTTGAGGGATATAAATTATGTCCTGCAGCAATCGCCTGTTTTCGTAAAACTAAATAGCTATTTCGCGACAATTTGGCATCGACATACAAAGCGAGTGCTTCTTCACCTGTGTACACTCGTTTGGATTTGTATTTTTGTAAATTCTTGTATTGCATTGCAATTTCGGGAGATTCGCTTACACTTTGCATTAGTTTGGCTGCTACACGAAATCCACTTGAACGCTTAGACATATGAGCTGCATACGACAGCTCAGCATCAGATCGTGACTGAAGAAGATCACGTACTTTGTAACACTTTGCTCTGTCGTCGCAACTTTCAAATCTTTTTGTAGGTCTTCCTCGCTTAGAAGAGGAAGGTAACTCATCCCTCATATTCTGTTCAGGTTGTTTATTACAATTAACTTCCGCCAAAGCAAAGTCGTTTTTAAGCCAGAGCTCAAATTTTTCTAGGAACCTAAAACAAAACGTTCCATTACCAACTGATAAAAAAATCTCAGAACAAAGCTCTAACCTTTCCTTACAGTTACCAGCTGTAATCCACTTTTTGCTGATTTCATTACAAATGAAAGAAATTTTTAATTGAATTTTTCGCTTCATTTCATTATCCAAGTCTGAAATGTTAGCTTTTTCAAATGTTCGCGAACACAACTGAGCGACTCGTTCCTTTTTTGACGTAGCACACCACATCTCGAAAAACTCCATGCGTGAAAATGAAATTATTCTTTTTTCCATTGCGTTTCTTTATTTAACTTTCGCTTTTTTAGCACTAAACTTTTAATCGCATTGAAATCGTATTAGCCAAAAAACATAACAGAATTTATACAAAGCCAACTTATACACAAAAAAAATTATGTCTCTCCACTTAAGTGCTAATAACTTCTATATTTGTTATCCAATTTAGATGAGCAGGGTCTTATTGTATTTATAGAATATCATGCTTTGGCGTCCAAGTATGCGGAAGTTAACAAGTTCTTTAATGTTGATATTTTTACCGAAAGTATTTCTTTTATTATTATTTTTTTTATTATGCAAAATTTTCTATATATGTATCAATTGTTAGCTCCTAAACTATGAATGCGGTTGGAAAACATTCTTTACATATAATATGAGATTGGCCAACTATATAAAAAAATTTAATTTTTGTATGGGGCCTTCCAAAGGAGAGGATATAGGGATATGTTCCCAGGAAAATATTATTGGGGAAGGAAAAATAATGGGGGTATGTGGTACATTTGATCCCTTTAGAAGCAAATCTTGGGTAGGTATGACCCTTTTTCGTATTTCATTACAGACTCTGCTTGATATATTGTGGAGTTTA